ATACAAGAAGGAATTTCAGATTCATTTGGCCATCAAACCTCCAGACCTCTTATTTGGAACAAGGTGAAGAGATTTCCTTTAATGAGCCTGTCATTCCCGGCACATGGGCCTGTCACTGCCCGGGCAGAGCACACCATTGCTGGCAGTGTCACTCTCTCTTGGGACAGTGCTTATTCACCTCTAGAGAGTAATGGGTTTAATGTCTTCATTCTTTTTACTCTGCCATTTTCTCAAGGAAATATTAGAACTAATTCTTTTCTTCAAAGGAAAGTGACTCTCCATTGGGTGGGAAGGTGTACGGGGCACTACATTACGTTACCTTCTGCTGACGCCCACTGCAGGGGGGCTTCTCTGGTTTGTTCTGTCCTGGTGAGTGCCACAGTACATTCTACCAGCCTCTCAGAAGGGGAATCGGAAGGTGGGAGCTCTAGTTCGGACTCTGTCCTGACCGATTCTTTGCAGGCAGCACTGCCCGATTCCTCTAAGCTGTGTAAGTTCAGTTATATCACCTCCCCTTATTGTGTCTGTTCCCTTATTTATCAAGTGAGGGGCTGTACTTACTCATCACTCACCCCTCTCTAGGTCTGAAACATTTTCTGAAACCCTGAGGAAGTATACATCCTTATCTGTTTAACTCATTCCCTTTGGTATTTCTATAGAAACACAAGTCCTCTGTGTGAGAAAGCAAAAATAGTATTTCCTCTGACTATGTCAGTGATCCTGAATTCTGAAGCTCTAACCTGCAATGTGCTTTGGGGGTTATTTGGAGATGGGGGCCTGGGGAAGTAATTAGAATTAGATGAGGTCTTGAGCGTGGCGCCCTCACAATGGGATCAGTGCCTTTATGAAAAGAGACACCAGAGAGCTTTCCATCTGTCTCTCCATGAGCATGCACAAGGAAAGGCCGTGTGAGGACAGCTAGAAGGTTGCCACCTATAAGCCAGGGACAGAGACTGATTCACCAGATTCACTGAGCACCTGTTCACCAGAAATTGATTGGCCCCCACCTGGCTCAGACTTCCCAGCCCCCAGTTGTGAGAAGTACATTTCTGTGATTAAAGCTACCCTGTCTGTGGTTATTTTGTTCAAAGCAGACCATGAGAGTGAGCATTCTCTAGGACAGTCACGGCGGCTGAGCCTTGGATATTTTTGTGCAGAAAGAAGACTCACCTCACGCAGTCAGAGCAATATGGGATGGACCATCAAACAGGGCAAGGCAGCAGCTTTTCATGCCGTGTTCAAATGCGCTATCACACATTTCCTGCATTGTTGTTTTGTTAGAGGTAGGAATTGCCTACACTAGATGATAAAGCACTTTAGATAGATACTCATTTTGTAGCCATGAGAAATGAATGACCACCTCCAGTCCTCTTTGGAAGAAGGTAGAGTAGGAGTTATAAAAGTATATTAGTCAGAGTTAAACAAGAAAACAGATTCCTCCAGTGACAAAACCAGTTCCTGGAGCATGTCATTTTCAGCATTACAATGATTTCATGGCACAGCCTTTAGCTCCACTGGAAATGAATGCAAGCGTCACCCTAGGCATCACACACCTTAAGCGGCATCTTGTGTGTTCTCGTCCCTTCAGAACCAACTCAACTGTCATCTTTTCTGTGACTTTTCTAAATGTCATTTGAAAATGACATTTGTATGTTTTTACATTCCAGGGTCCCCATACAGAACGTGTTTCTCAGGGTTCCCATTATAACTTGCTTTTACTTCCATTAAGTAGTTACCACATCGTATTACAGGAAGTAGGGTGTCCTTTCTGTCCTGCTAAATAGTGAACTCTCTGAGAGCAAGGCCATAGGCCTAAAAGCCACTTAATAAAAGCTTGCGTGTATGAATGAATGAATTACTCCTCCTTTGTATGAGACTCATTGCTCATTCATCCCAGGCTTCTAAAGACTCTGACTCGGCTACCGGACTGAGGCTCTCTCTGCCTCTGTCTGCCCATCTATTATGTGGTACTGTAAACAGTAAACATTGTCTTTTTTGGATTTTGGCCTCACAATCTTTAATGAGCCATGCAAGCTACCAGGAGGCAGAGCCAGTAAGCTCCAGAGGTCACATATGAAGATCCAATATTTTAATAATATTTGTCCCAGCTATTTTGTCCATATTTCAAAAATCTGTTGTTCTGTATTCGTCCTGGAATTGTTGACACATCACAGATGCCAGTAGTCCACCAGGGCAACAAAGACTCTTACGTGGCCTAATTTAGGATGTCTGCCCTCCTGTTGATTAGGAGAGCACCTCTTTTACAGTTTGTGGTCTTCACCAATTCATTTAAATAAAACCAATTGCTAACAATCCAAATGTTAAATTAAGTAATGAGAAAACTACTTTTAGGATAGAGTCTATGCACAACTTTCCATCAGCTACTGAACCTGTTGAGAGGCAGAATGAGAACTAAAGCCGTTTATCCCAAGCGCATGGACGCCTCCCCAGACATCCTTTTCCCTTTCCTCTCTGCACTGGAATCTAGCCCATGTTTGATTCCTTATGAATCTTGATTATGGTTGGCCCTCACCTCTTTGCTGCCCCCCAAGGAAATCTCCTCAGAGTATGGGGGGTGGGGAGGGGTTAAATACTTGAAGATATATATAGTGAGGTTGATTTTTTTAAGCAAGGTTCCTGCCCTCATAAAACACCAGGTAGGAAGCTGTCCCTGAAGCATCTATGATGGATATGGCCATGCTAAGTGATACGTACAAGATAGTAGAGAGATTCTGGAGTATTTTTGAACAAAGTGCTTCTTTCCTTCCTTCCTCAAGTACTTACTGAGCACTCACTATGACCTAGGTATTGACCTAGGCATGGGGGAAACAGCAATGAATAAGACCAGATCCCTGTACCCTCATGAAGTTTACATTCTAGTAGAAAAGAGAGATAATAAATAAGTGAATAAATAATATGTAATTTCAGGAAAAAACTACTTTATATTGTTTATTTTATGAAAAACAAAAAGAAGCCAAGGATATGGTAATTCCTTAAAAAACTAACCACAGAATTACCATGTGATCCACCACTTCCACTTCTGGGTATTCACCCAAAAGAATTGAAGGCATGGTCTCAAACAGGTATTTGTACTCTGGGATTCATAATTGCATTATTTATAATAGCCAAAAGATGGAAGCCATTCACTGAAATCCATCAATGAATAAATGTGTAAACAAAATATGATCTGTACATACCATGGAATATTGTTTAGCCTTAAAAAGGAAAGAAATTCTGACACATGCGACAACATGGATGAACCATGGATGATAATATTATGCTAAGTGGATAAACTAATCACTGAAGGACAAATACTGTATGATTCTAGTATGAGATACCTAGAGCAGTCAAATTCATAGAGACAGAAAGAACAGTGGTTTCCAGGGGCCTGGAGAGGGAAGAACAGAGAGTTAGCATTTATGGGGACAGAGTTTCACTTCGGGAAGATGAAGAAGTTCTGGAGATGGATGGTGGTAATGATTGAACAATAATGTGAATGTGCTTTGTGCCACTGAACTGTACATTTAAAATGGGTACAACAGTAAAGGTTATGTAAATTTCAACAATTAAAACAATTTTGACCTTTTAAATAAAAGTAAGTGAGGTTGCATGTAAGTGTATATTAATAATACCAAAAAAAAAGAGTAAGCGAGGGACTGGAGGAGGGACGATTTCAGTTAGGCTGTCTGGGAAGGCTTCTTGGAGGAGTAGGTGGCCTTTGAGTAGGGACCAGCCAGAATGATGAGGAGAACATGGGGAAGTGGAGGGGATTAGCTTGGGATCTTGCTCCCCAGTGGGAGGGCTTTGGTCAGTTAAAGAATATGATCTGATTTACCAGCAAGATCATAGCAGCTGTGCTGTGGATGGTAGGCTGAAAGGGAGAGAATCTGCAAGCCAAAGACCAATCAAGAGGCTGCAGCAGCTGTCCAGGCAGATGGCGGGTGGCTCAGGGGGCACAGAGACTATGGGGGAAGCGGGCAAAAGTGCTTCGACCGAGATACATTTTCAAGGTGGAGTCATCATGATGTGGGGAAAGAGACGCTTCAAGAATGATTCTCAGCTTTTAACTGAGCTACTGAGTGAAAGGGGGTGCCATCCACTGAAATGGAAATAACTAGGAGAGAAGCTGGTGGGGAATGGTAAAGGGCACGGGGAGGCATTCAAAAGATGTTCTATGTGAAAAGTGCAATCTTTGACCCAGTATCTAGAAGAATAATAGCACATTGAAGCCATTTATTAAATAGTTGAATGAATGAATGAAACTGAATGGGTAAATGGAGGGAGGGAGGAAGGAAGAAAGGAAACTAATTCTAAATTTTACAAAATATAAAGGAAAACATTTTGCAAAATGATAGGCTTATAAACACCTTGGGCTAGAATTTGGAAGAACTGCGTTCCAGTCTCAGAAAATATTCCCAAACCTTAGATTCCTCCTCTCAGCTTTTGTTCTGGTACCTCATGCATTTCCTCCTACACAGGGAATGTGCTTACACCTTCACTAATCCCAGCCAGCAAGTGCATGGTCCCTGCATCCATCCCTGTGTATAAATGCAGAACTCACAACCCTGGAGTGGGGAACAGCCAATCAGTGAACTCCAGCTCTGCTCCCACTAAGCACACCTTCCCCACCCCAACACATCCCAGCAGGTGTTGTGGAGCAGGCCCCACAGCACTCCAGACAAATTCCCACAGTTCCCCAGAGAGTCTCACCTTTTATGCGCAGGGTTTTAAGCAAGCAGGAGACAAGATCAGTTCACTCCATGTATTGGCTGGACTTGTGTTGACTAATCCACTAGTGGCTCTCACTGAGCCTGCAGGCTGCTCCCTACTAATAGCCACAAAGGGAGGGGAGAGCAATTAGTGGGAAGAAAATATTTAAAAGTCACCTTCACAACTGGGGAGGTGCAATGCAAAATGAGAAAGGCCTGTGAGAATACTATAAAACAGCCTTGCGTCTCAGGTTTCTGCATAGTAACCAATTTTGTCCTGGCTCTTCACAGGACTGAGGGTACAGAGTGTGCCTACATCAACCCTCTTGCCTGTTTCCCTTCCGACAACGATTACCCCACTAACCACCAGCTGGACAAGCTCTCTGCAGGGCCATCCTGCCTCTGCTACCAGTGGCACACTCAGCAAGCCAACACCCCTGGTCACAGCTTCAGCCCAGCTGTCCCCATTACCCAGGAACGACTCCGTAGAGCCCCGAGACCAGGAGGCCACCAGCCCAACCTCACACTGGAAAGACGCAAACACAGACCCCTCACCAACAAGCAGTGGGGTCCCCTTAACACCCACGCCCACTGAACACAGCTCAGGCACTCCGGAGGCCAGCGTGCCGCCCACAGGGTCACAACCCCACACAGCTACAGAGTCACAGCTCCCTGCAACTACAGGGTCACAGTCCCCTGTGACTACAGGGTCACACCCCCCTGCAACTGCAGGGTCACAGTCCCCTGTGGCTACAGGATCACAGCCCCCTGCGACTACAGGTTCACAGTACCCCACAGCTTCAGGGTCACAGTCCTCCACGGAGCCTCCCACGCTCACCTCCCCTCAGCCTCCAGCCTCGTCACCCCCACCCTTATCAACCGCACCCCCAGAAGTTTCTTCTGCCTCAGTCAGCACCAACCACAGCTCCACTGAGACCAGTACCAGGCCCACAGGAGTCCCAACCACACAAGAGTTCCCAACAGAGACACCCCACTCTGGCCACACACCCATTTCACATGCCACAACTGAGCCCGGGCCCTCGGAGACAACATCCCAAGCAACTGGGCCAGCCAAAGTGACATGTGTGCTGATAGACCCCGAGACCACCACCTCGCCGGGGATGATCATGCAGGGGGTGGAGCACGCGCTAAGCTCAGGTGAGTCTCTGCACGGCTCAGGTGAGTCTCTGGAACACTAGTGCTGCTGACCACACTGGACCTTAAGATTGCAGCTCAGTTAACCACAGGCAATTGATTAAGTTTGAATTTTGGAGTGCAATGCCTGAGCTGAATTACAGTTCACAAGAATCTCCACAAGAGTGTAAACCTTATTTTCAGCTACTTATTAATTTCTACATGATGTATCATTAATAGTGGCCAGTCTTTATGATTTGTCTTCACATAGATCATAGGGAGGATAAATGAATGTGTAAGCAAAGGGACCAATAGCCAAGCTTCCTAGGTTTCAGCTTGGGTTCCTGACCGTGGGCAAGTTACTTTATCTCTCTGTGCCCCTATTTTTCCTCATCTGTAAATGGGGATAAAATAGGCCCTATCATACATGGTTCTTATGGCGATTAAATGAGATGGCATATAAAGTAGTTCCTGGCAGAGAGTAAGTGCTCAGGAAATGTCAGTGTCATTATTTTTTTGCTCAGGGTATAAAGTGTTTGCCTCATGGAAATTAGTCAAGGGAAATAGGGTGGGGTGTAGAGAACTTGCTTATTCTTTATAGTCTGCTTATTCTGATACATTTCATGGGAAAGACAATAAATTTTACAGGACATCGTATTTGTTTTTATTCTCCCAGCAACCCTATGAAGTTAGTATTATTTTTATCTTGATTTTGCAATCTTGGAAATTATGGTCGAGAGAGATTTAGGGTTTTTCTGATGTCACATGCATCTGGTGACTCGAAGACTATAAACTTTAGACTATTGGGCAGGAAAAGGCTTTCGTGGGACCATTTGGCCTCTAGACTGAGAGAGTAAGGTGGTAAGATCAGGCAGGGGAGGATGGGAGGGTGCTGCAGCTCCCCCCCCCACCCCTGCAGGACTAGGGGTGCGGGCTAAGGGAGAACTGACTGCTCAGGACCCAGCCAGCCATCACCAGCTGAGGTCAAAGGAACAGCTGTGAAGAGAAGAAATTAACATCTTTTAACAAGCAATTAGTGAACAACCACTGTGAATGGAAACCCTGTTAGACAGTGAGGTGGGGGAGAGAACTGAGATTAGCAGGACGTGATTTCTCATGGAAGAACTCACAGTTTACTCCAGGATAAAGTCAGGAAGAACTGCAGATTCTTATTTCAGAGGCCCAGTATTTCAATGAGAGTCCCAAGAAGAGAGATACAATCAAACTGAGATAAAGGAATTAATTACAAACATAATTAATTTGTACTACACTAGGGTGTAGAAGACCCACAGGGGATCACGATGATAGAGCTGCTAGGAGTCTGGCATAGGAGGGGGACTGGCCACCAGAACCCAGGAGAGGTCTTGTAGAACAGACCTCCTTGAGAGGAGCAGGGACTCCTGGTGGAGAGGCACAACTGAACCGAGGCTAACCTCCCGGGAGTGAAAAGAATAAACCCCTGCCCTCCCTCTCCCCCTTCCCTCTGATACCAGCCAGAAGCCAAGGACAAAGAAACCCATTGATGTAGTCTCTACAGGTCAGCCTCACCAGGGGCTGGTCAGAAAGCAAGTGGAGAAGGGTGGAGAAAACAGATCTGGAGAGGCAAAAAGAAGAAATCTGGCAAAGCCCGGTTAAATGCTGATTCCTCTGCACAGCCCCATCCCCTTAGCAGCCTTTTTATACCTCCAGCCAGCACTTATCGTGGTGCATTTAGATGTGTGCTTTCTGTCTCTACCCCCACGTCCATGCCCCCACTTTCTGCCTGAAACTTACCCTGCTCCCAGAATGCAGATACCATCTCTGGCATAGACTAGGCGCCTGCAGCAGAGTAGCAGCTGCTTCACTCGGTGTCTCAAGGACTGTCCCTAACACAGGTGCCACCGAAGTACAGGCTTGCAGCCAGTGACCCCATCTGTTCTCTCTTTTCTAGTTCAGGCCCTGATCACCACCTGTGTGGTACTGCTTCTCCAGTTTTCTAACTTATCTCGCATTTTCTCCCCTCTGCAAAGATACTCCAGACAGGGTGGAGTAACATTCCTGGCATGCAAGAATCTTCATGATCTTACACACACACACCCTACTTGTTTCTACAAATGCCCTAATCTCATGGGCTAGATTATCCAAGACAGTCTTGTTACAATATTTTGGCTTGTGATTTAGACCAAGTGTCTTGATTTCCTTAATCCTAAACTAGCAGGGTCCAGAGGTACAAAGGTCACAAAATTAGTGACGGCTGGATCATGAACCTTAACGGTTCTAGGGAGGTGGCACTCAGGAGTCACTCCAGAGTAAATTAATGAAAGACTGAGGAATGACTAGAGAAGATGGGGGTATGGTTGGTTAAGTCCCTGAGCACGGGCCAGTGTACATCTCATAGACCAAAGAGGATCTGTTCCTTATGCTTCTCTACATCAAAAAAGATTATTCTGCATCTACCAGGACTTGTGCTTGATGCAGAGAAATAGAAGACCTGTCCTTGGAGATTTTATAGCTGAAGTAGAGAGAGAGGCACAAGTGACTCTTATTAATACCACTTGGTAGTTTCTAATCTGAAAATGAACTGAAGTGGGTGGAAGGATCTTTGAGCAGATGTAATACAATCTGTTCATTTCAAAGGTGAAGAAATTATGTCCCAGAAGTCAGGGTGTCTCTTTCAAGGTCACACTGGCCAGCGGCAGAGCTGGGCCCAGAGCCCAGAGCCTGCACACCACAGCTGAGTCTTCTTTCAGTGCCCAGTGTGGCTGCCCTGCTCCTTCCTCAGCCCAGCAGCCAGGAAGCTTCCCGTGACACCCTGCTCGCAGCTCGCTATTTGGGCATGTTCTTGAGAGATTCGTAGGCCACCCTAAGAATGGTAGAAATAATAGAAATAATACCACACTATTTTTTAGCATTTTGTCTTATTCTGTGGAAGTTCACATAGCACAATTTTGTTAATCCAAGGACTCATCCATTCAACAAATACCTAGACATAGTCACCAATGAGTACTTTTAAAGCAAGGTGCATGCCCTGGCAGTCAAATGACTAGGAGGATTGTGAAGGTTCCAGAATGGAGGGAGCACTGGAGCTAAGTGGTAGGAGAGGAGGTTGGGCCTCAGGAGAGACACAGCAAGGGAGAAGCAGGCACTTGTGTGCACAGGTAGGGAACCAGAGGCAAAGTAACTCATGCTGCACATGCCTGGGTTCAGGGTCCACCTGCTGAAAGTGCTCTTGCTCAGGTGATAACCTCCTCATCGCCCAGCCTAGGGGTTACTTCTGTGGCCTGGCTTGACCCAACCTACCAGTAGTGTTTGACAGGAATGGTTGCTGCCCTCACCTTGAAAGCACTGTGACCACTTATGCTCCAGGACATATCTCCCCTGGTGCTCCCCCAGCCAGGCTGACTGCTCCTCCTCAGTGTCTGTGGCCTTACCTCACCAGTTCATTGTCCTACCCTGGAACACCCTGGCTGTGCTGCCCTCCTCTCCTCCCCACCCCACCCTGACTCTCCACACCCATGCTCTCCTCTTCTGTCTGCACTCCTGGGATGATTTCATTCCTCATCCCATCTCATGACTTACAATGCCATCCATATGCTGGTAACTCTGAGATATAAAATTCTGCCCCTGTTTTGTTTCACTGAACTAAAGACACATCTATCCAGCGGTCAGCTAATTCATACTGTCCACGTGGTGGCTCACAGGCATCTCACAGTCACTGTGTATAGGGTGAGCTACTGATTTGCTCAGCCCCCAGTCTGCTCCTCTCCCACTATTCCTCTGCTTCTGACTCCGCAGGCCAGAGACCTGCGGCTAATCCTCAACTCCTTTCTCACATACTCCACATGCAGCCATCAGAACCGCACCTGCTCCCACCCCTCTGTCATGTTTCACGTGCATTACTTCACGGTGCCTGTAACCCATCGCACTACCCATGACACCCTTGCCTGAGAGCCTTTTAAACTAGGACACTGTGCCCAGCCCTGGGTATAACACTCCAGTTGCTTCCCCTCTGAATCCAAGCCAAGTCCCAAGTCAGTGTCCTGCCTGCGATGCTCAGCACTGTCCCACCCCTCACAGCCTCTCTACTCTCATCTTCTTCCACCTTAACCCATAGTCACACTGGCGATCTTACTGTTTCTTGAACAGACTGAGGACGCCCCTGCCCTAGGGTGTCTGCACTTAGTGTTCCCTCTGCTTGACATATTTCCCTCCGGGCCTTTAATGGCTCACTCCTTTCCATCAGTCAAGATTTGTTTAACTGTCATCTCAGTGAGCCTTTACCCCAATCTGAAACAGTAATCCCATCTGTTGATCCCTTTACCCTACACTATTTTCCTTTTGATCAACTACCACTTTCTGATTTCATTTCACCTATGGTGAGTGGGTGTCTGTTTTCTGTTTCAGCTGACTAGACTGTCAACTCCATGAAAGCAAGGACTTTGTTCACAAAGGGGAAGATGTAGGTACATCCCTGGCCCCTGGAACACAGGTAGCCCCTGACACATGGTAGACACTGGGTAACATTTGTTGAATAAATGAATGAAAGTGTCAACCAACCAATACCAGAGAAGCTATTCAATCCCTCTGAGCCTGGGTCATCACATCAGTAAGATGGGTTAAGGATAGTATCCACATGACTAGGTTGTTATAATGTTTAGCTGAGATAAGAAATGTACAACATACTGGTTGTTGAGCAATGGCTCAATTGCTACCTATGACTGGTATTTTGCTATGATTTATTGTCATCATCATCATCATCATTATTACCATTTTTGCTATTGTTGCTATTATTTTTGTTGCTGTTTTATCATAACCAAGAATGCCCACCATCTTCAGCAAATTTTTCCTGGGCCTTTACTAAAAGTCAGGCATCTGGCTAAGTACCAAGGATATGGCCATGACAGAGACAGCCACTTCCCTTGTGGGGTTTACCACGTAGCACGTAACCTGGTTTGGTGGATCCCAGATGGCCTGGGGAAACTGCAGAAGCAGGAAGAAAGATTTCAAGACAAATGTTAGAGGACGCTAAGCAGATTTACTTACTT